AAAAAAAAAAAAAAAAAAAAAAAAGCCTGTGCCACACCGGGCACTGTGGGGTTGAACTGTGTCATAATTTCTCCCTTTGGTAGGGTCTCAGTCCCAAGGCAGGGCTCACATCAAAGGGTCAGATCTTTCCACACCCTCTAAGTGCTTGAGGCATTGGTGTCAGCATTTGCCCACCTGCACAGCACCTGGGCTTCCCGCCAAGCCTCCTCCACCCGCCACTGTCCCCAGGTGGAAGGATGTCGCTGAGTCTTACTTACCAGAGGAAGAGACAGAACTTGCTTCCTCATCCCCACCCCCAGACACAGGAATTACTTTATGAGTTTGAAGGCAGCTGTGCAAAAGAGTGAAAGCATTGGCCACTTACTTCCTATAAACGACATTTGTAGCAGTAGAGGAGATTAAATTGTGTCCCACAGCCCCTCAACCAAAATATATCTGTTTTTATTATCTGCTTCCTTTTGGACTTTGTCTGACTGTGTATTTTTGCCAGCATAAATCATGATGTAGACAGCCTTCTTATTATACTTTTTCATTTAACATTTATTAGGATGTTTTTCCACATTCCTACAGTTTTTGTAATTATATTTTTAATGACTACATTCTGATTCATCATTATACTTTATGCCCCATTGTTGAATTTTTTTTTCAATACTTTATTGTTACAAAAAGTGCTGTAATATACATATTTATGCTTATGGCTTTCTTCTTAGTTTCTTTGATTTTATTGCCTCTGAATAGCAAGTAAAATCAGTGGATGAGAGAGAATGAACATTTCTGCTGCTTTTGACACACAAAGCCCTCTTCATTACTAAAAGAATAATACCCATTTACATAGCTACCAGTGAAATAGAAACAGGCCTGTTTTAAACTATTCTTGCTGGTAGTTAGGAGTTGTGTCTTGAATATTTTGCTAATTTAATAACAGTTATGATTTCTTGGTTTTAATTTATACTCTGGTATCCAGATGAACCCTTCCCCCAAATTTTTAAATTTTGTAGCCATTTGTGTGAATTTTCTGTTTCTTCTTTGCATCTCTGCCATAGATAGGCATCTTTCTTACAAATTTATACCATCAGTAACTCCTTCTCTACTCCATCCATTAACTGAATGCTTTCCGTTTAAACAGTAAAAACAGTAATTTTTTAAAATTCTGCAAATATAACTTAAAATGTGTTATTACACACATCTTATTAAAAAGCAACAAAATTTTATAGTGCTTACGATGATGATCCAGGCATACTTCTAGCACTTTACCCTGACCTCTGTGAAATTTCTACTACTTTATTCCAGTGTTAGAGGTGGATAAACGGAGGCCAAGAAACTTGCCTACGGCCAACCGAATAGGTAAGCCAGGATTCAGGGCCAGGCATCCTGGCTCCTCCGCCTGTGCTGGAGGCTCACATTCGATTTGTTACTGGCACTGGGGAAAGGAAGGCAGCAGGCAGATTCTGTCCTAGACAGTGAGTCGGAGAGGCGTCCAGTCTTGTAGACACCCAAGACTTTGTTAACAGTATATCAGAGCATCGTGGTTCTCTCAGTGCATTGCTTACTCTTAAAATGAATTGAAAAGTAGATGAGCAAATGTTTAAAAAAAAAAAAAACCCCACTTTATGCAACAGCACATCCGGTGTAGTACTGGGACTTGTTTCCAAGGGCCGTTTGAAAGGTGTGTGTTGGGGTGGCATCTTAATGGCCGAACCGCCCGGCTGGGGCTCGCTGCCTGATCACGTGCCATTTCTCCCATCAGTTCCTGCCGTGTACAGTCATCCTCTGCTTGTGGCCTGACAGGTTTTATTTTGACCAGTGGTTCTTAGATCGTAAATTTTATTTAATTTGTCGTAGTGTGTTTAATGAATTTAATTCCAGGCTGTTTAAATGCCGAGTGATGAACCGTCACCATTTTGGGTGCCAGCACAGGACGTGCATTTAAATCATTTGATCTGTTGGATGAGGAAATACATGTGGAGGGACAGGCAGGCGGGTGCTTTTAATAGTAGGGCTTCATCGATTGAATAATGAGATAGGTGTAGATAAAGAAACAGTTGAATTCTGGCCAAAAATGCAAGGAAACCCAGGAGGACTGCTGACTGTACCACTCCCTCCTAACCCACCCTGCCTTGTACATCCACTGTTTTCGAGATCTGTCTTTATGTAGAAAGGGGGGTGGGGCAGCACCCTGTTGATTCAGTTTCCATCAGCACTTGTGTGATCTGAACTGGCCGTGGTGGTGCATTTACCCACTTTGACTTATGGCCTTTCTCTGTCTTCTGCATGACAAGAATCATCCATCCCAACTTTGTCAGCTGAGGGTTTCAGCTTCGGGGAGCTCTCTGAATCCATGCTAACTCCACTGGTCTTTCCAAGTCCACCGTGGAGCTGTGAAATGATGGACGGGACCCTGAGGGAATGTGGAGAATAAAGTTGAGGTGCTTTGGTTGCCTGAAGGAGAATTTCAAATCAACCTAAATGAACTACTGAAAGACTCTGTTTGGTTGGAGAGTTTTCCAGGTAGCACACCACCTGCGGTGAGGAATCCAAGCTCTGGAGATGCAGGCAAGGGCTGACTCTCCTGCCTAGCGTATTTCAGGATCCTAAGAAATCCCCGAACCTTACCCAGTTCAGCCATCCCAGACAACGGGCTGGTTACTCATTATCAAAGGCAGCTTCGTTCACAAAGTTGTATCTTCACTAACACAGCCCAGGTTTGAGAGGGGGACTCACCTTTTCCAACAGGATTTTCTCCAGGGGTTATTGAACCTCCGGGAAGTGGGAACACAGGGTGGCATTGTGGAGGGGCGAGAGCATTTGCAAGAGATCGAAGCTCTTGTAGACCTGCTTGTGGCAGCTTGGTGGAAGATGATCTGTCCTATGCTTAGCCAGTGTAGCGAAGGCTGGGTTTTCACCCTGTCCTGTGTCCTCACCTGAGCGATTTTGCTAGTATACAAACTGCTGTATGCTGTGGTGTTGGAAAAGACTCCTTAGAAACAGCCTGACAAGGAGACAACTGGTCTACCTCAGATAATGTCACTTCCTTTGGTGCGATTTAGGGGAAATATATCTTATCCTTCACTCGAGCGTATGGCTGTTTTGGGGTTGCACCTCTCTGCTTACTGTGCCACAAGCACCCCAGACTCATCCTGGCCTCTAGTTTCAGCCAATAGTAACTTCCCACTTCTGTCCACTTGGACATAGGTGTCTATAGGTCTTGCGTCAGGGCAGTTTAGATACTGCTGCTTCTGGGAATCCTCCCCTGATCTGCCCAGGCTGAAGCATCCCTTTTAGGGACCATCACAGCCTTGAAAACACTACCCTGGGGCTGGGGTGTGGCTTGGCATGAGCATGCTTGCCTGTCTGGCCCTGGAAAAAAGCAACTCTGCCCCCCGCAAATTACCAAAGCAGCACAGTTGTACTTCCTGTTTTCTTTGCAGCATATCTTCATCAGCCTGTACATGTCTTGAAGCAGGAAATGTTTGTTCTATTCATGGATGTATTACTAAGGCTCTGTAAAATGAGCACTCTGTAGGTACCTGTTGCAAAACAGAGTCATAAATGCATGCTTTTGAAGCCTTGTTGGTGGATGGATTCTGAATGCTTGCCTGAGCTTGGCTTCATGGGCTGAGATAGGGCTTCCTGTTGGATAGGTGAACTGCCAGATGAGGAGAAATCCTCCGGGAGACCCTGCCAAATCCAGTCTCTACTTAGGAGTCACCTCTTGGCTGTTTATGTAGCTGAAGAGAACCCACTTAGTGAAAGTATGGGCAGGCCCTAAAATCATGTGACTCACCCAGTGATGATTTCAGGGCTGGAGTGTCCTAGGAAAAGCCAGGACTTTTTTCTCACTAAGCCTCAAAGCGCACTAATTGTCTGTTGCCTTCTGTAGCACTGGAAGACGCAGCACAGCGAGGAGTATGAAGCAGAAGGTAAGAGCTGCCTGCATGAGGGCCGGCGATGCCCTTGCTGGCTTACTACAGTCAGCTTTCCTGCATCTGATGCTGGAGCCTGCCTGGGAATTCACATTAGGAGCAACAGCCTCAGAAAATCATTCCCAAGTGGTAGCTTATAGTTTTAAAAACCCCAGCTTTCAATGGCACGCAAAAGATGCAAATAAGATGTAGAATTCCACTTACAGGCTAATTACTCTCTATACAGACTTTCCAATTAATTTGCAAACAGTGCTAACCTAAATAGGTAGTCCATTAAAATGCGCCCCTTGCGACTTTCAAAAGTAAAGCATCAGAATGCATGGTCCTCTGACCACCAGAGGGCGCTGAGGTTCAGCCGACCGGGCTCCAGCCCCTGACTGCCTACCTGCTATTAACGTGCGAAGTGTAATTACAGCGTGTTCTCTCCTCTCCAGACAGACACGGCAGTGATTGGACTTACTTTCTGTCGATCAGTAGCTCAGTGCTTCTCTCAAGTCTCCAAGGCATGCAAAATTGTGCCCGCAATTATGTTTAAGCGATGGCTTTACAGCTTTAATATGTTGGTGGATAATTTAGAAGCCGGAACTTACAATAGAGAATAATAGTCTAGATGTTTAAGTAGTTTGATCCTTGTCCTCCAGTAGACCTTTATCTTTCACAGATAGGTAGTTAGGAACAGGCGGCTTACAGTTCTTTATTCTTTCAAGTTGAATTCTGTAGGTCAGACTATCGTATGTAAAGATTTTGGGAACAGGTAAATATTGAGACATTCATCATGAAGTTATTTCCTTCTTAATAAAAGATGCTCTAGACCTGACACTAGGAAGTGTAAATAAACCAGTCCGGGCACTATAGTTGAGGCAGGAAAAGGTCAAAATGAGATCAACATCTATAGTCTTTTTCTTAAAATATTTATTTTCAAAGAGTACACTTTTCTCTGTAAACAGGTACTTTTTTTTTTTTTTGTAATTCATTTGGGGACAACATAAAAGCAGTGATTGAAATATATGGTGAATGTTTATATTTTAAAAGTCTGTTACAGTAAGAGACATCTTGCCATTAATCCTCACTTTGAATACACTTATCCAGTTGTTTTTGCCATTTTTCTGGAGCAGTTCTGGAAGTCTTCTTTTGTGTCTCTATAAGCTATGATCAAAACTACGGTGAGTGCTGCTGTCGGGTGCCATTCAGTGCAATGGCAAGCTTGTAAAAAATGTTAGTGTGTCCTCATCTACCTTATTGACTGGATCTACCACTGTGAGACTTCTGCTCTTCCCCAGAGTCAAAAGGATCGTGAAAGGTAAGGATCTTGATCAGGACATTAAGGCAGCCATGACAACACAATTAAAGACACTCACGAAAGAGGACTTCCTGAACTGCTTCAGAAAGTGACAAGGGCAATGGGATAAGTGTGTTTGCGGGAGGTGTAGGAGGTGGTTACTGGCAACATGCTTTTTACTATAATAATTTTTTAAAAAAAATACTGTATCTTTTGATCACACCTTATAAATGATTTGATTTTAGGTCAGTTACGGTTTTGGAACCCAGATGACTTGAATGCCTCACAGGGTGGGTCCTGTCCTCCCCAAGACTGGATAGAAGAGAAACTGCAAGAGGTTTGTGAAGATCTGGGGATCACTCGCGATGGTCACCTGAACCGGAAGAAGCTAGTCTCCATCTGCGAGCAGTACGGTTTGCAGAATGTCGATGGAGAGGTGAGCTTGGCGGTGTGTTTCGGTTCAGGGATGATAATGGTGATAAAAGCGTAGCTGGCCACAGGCTGGAAACATGGCAGCTTGTGAGAGAGATCATTTTCTCCTCAGAGGTGACTCTGGAAGATTGTGTGTTTGAGAAACTTGGGGTGTAGAGAGGAAACGCTGACCGTAGCTGCCCTCAAGGGGCAAAGCTGTTACCCACGAGACCATCGGACACCAGCGCAGGGCAGGCCCTGTGTCACACGTGTCCCTGGAGGTGTCAGTCACAGAGCAAAGATTTGAAGCGGGGAGTTGAAGCCCAGGCGAATAAGTTTGGGTTTATAGAAAGATCTCCATGTCACCCCTGGGTGCTCACGCAATCTGAGTGACGTGTAAGACAAGTTAACTTGCTGAGTGCAACCTTAGCTGCCTTTGTATGTCAGTGTGAAGACAGCTTGGGAGAGCGGCCCGGCACTCTGACCACTTTCTGGTCTTGAGGAAACCGAGAAGAGTAGGTTGCTTGTTTGGGAAAGACAAAGCAAAATCTCCAGGGTGCATCTGAAAGTCTTACTTGATCACTTTGAGCTTTATTTTTTCTGAAAAAAAAAAAACATTAAGAGGAGACCCACAGGACCAAATGTAGAAATAGCTATGAAACATAAGAATATAACTAATTCCAAGATGTGTCTTTCAAAAAGCTAAAAAGATTAGAGAATGTAGGGTTACCGTTGTAGCTTCAGAATCTCTGGTTATGATGCTGTCTGAAACCACAGCATGCTCTTGCTCAGGGGAGAAGTGCTATTATTTTCCTAACCAAGAAAGATTTTCATCAAAAACCTTCCAAGGAGCCTAGCACGCAGACGTTTCTCTTCTTCTTTATGTGCGCAGCCCTTCTTCATCACTGACTACCATCTTCATGGCTCGGGTGACTTATTTTTTCAGTAATGGCAGTTGAGTCGTAAAAGTAAACTCACCCTCCTAATTTATAAACCAGAGCAGCACACAGAACCTCGGGTTGTTCCACCAAGAAATATTGCACAAACTTGGAGTGTTTCTCTAAAAACAATCCTGGGGATAAACTGTAGCCACTCGCAGGGAGCTGCTTTTTCTCCTGTGGTGGCAGCGCCCGAACCCAGAACCAGCTGAGCCCTATTTACTTTTCCTCTGGTCTGAGGATGAATACAGGCTGCTTACTGAACAGGACTATGGCGTAGTGTTTTTATTTTTCCTCCTAAAGAAAAATTGTATTTTATTATTAACTGTACCTTACTGAGGAGGTAGAGTTCAAGATGACATTTTTAACCGGCACCTTGGAATCCTGGAATTCTACAACTGTTAGCGATTACAGCCTGTGTCACCCCTCATTGTATGGATACAGTGAGTCACCGCTCCACTGTGTCACGAGGACAATTCGATTCACTGACTTTAAGAGTTTTTTTTTTATTAGGATGTTCGCAGTACATAATGTTCACATTCATGTTAGGGATAGGTACGTGTACTTCACATATCTGAATTCTTTTTATTCCCTTCCCCTCTCCTCCACCCGAGTCCCCTTCCCGTTTGCAAAAGTTCTATCTCCCTGTTTCTTGGTGTCTATCTTTCATTTTGCTTTTGAAAACTTGTCTGTAATTTGAGTTTCTCGTATAAGAGAATTTATAAGATATTTACTCGTGTGTGTCTGATTTATTCCACTTACCATTGCGGTCTCAAGGTGCACCCATTTTCCTACAAGTGACTTAGGTCTACCCTCCTTTCTGGCAGAGTAGTACCCCACTGAGTATAAACACCACATTCTTCTGCTGGTGGAGGTATAAGCTGCTTTCGAGCTTTAGCCTTACGAGCTGCGCTGCTGTAAACATGGGTGCGCCTGTATCGATGGTTGTAACAGTCTTTGGCTTTCTGAAGTAAGGACAGAAACAGCAGACTGGTACCCTAAATGCCACATCTGCCCCAAAGATGACTGTATTTGTTCTGTTTTGATGTTTTAGAAATTGAGCTTTGTGGTACAAGCTTTAGAATTAGAAGATTTTCTAAAAATCCAGGGATCCAGCCCCATTTTGCAGACATGGAGACACAGCTGGCCCCTTTGGAGAGGGCAAGCAGCTGTGGGTGAGCTGGCTCATCTTTACCACTTTCTAACGTTCAGGCCATCCTGCCTTGGTTATTTCCGCCACCTTCTGGGGCTGTGTGGGTTTGTGGCCCTTATTCTAGCACGTTACTTCCTGACTTACACATCGGGAAACCAGCCATGCACAGACCTAGCGTGTCCTAGGGAAAGAGTCTCCTCGCAATTCTAGATGCAGCTCCTGCTGAAGCTTCCGTGGGGGCCCAGCATTCTTCTCTGCCCCTCTGTCCTCTGAATTCACATCCATTCAGTCACCACCTCATTACCCACCCACACTTAAAAATAACTGGCGGGACTCACCTTCTCCTCCAGTTAAAATGGGTCAGGTGATGGATGTTGAAGGCCGCTGGAAGTTGCACTGCATTGGGCAAGGTCAGGAGGTCAAACTGGGGGACTGAGAACTAAAATACACCCTGGTAACTCGAGTCAGTGCACCTGGGTTTCTCAGTAACTTTTGGTGTGATGGCGCTGGGGGCCACCTCTGGGAAGATGCCCTTTTGGTTGATGACAATGAGACAGAAATGCTCAGAAATCTTGGCCACCTTGGGCTCTTGTCCCGGGGTGCTTTCCATCGATTCGATCACAAGATTCTCTGTTCAAAACTGTTGCATCTTCCAGAGCTTTCCACTGCTTGGAATGGTTAACTACAGTCTGCTGTGGAATGGAGACAGATGTCTCCTATTGGATGTGAATTGGAAAAAAAAAATTTTTTTTTGAGATAAATATGTTGAGCATTTACATAAAGAATGAAATCAACTTTGAGACAATATGAATCATAGCAATAGTCCAGATTTAAGAAATGAATATGAAAAATTTGAGGATGTGTTGACAGACAATTTGGGCCTATGTTAGAATGAATCCAACTGTCTGCTAGGATAAATCCAATAAGCAGCAAGAGTAATTTGTTGCTTCTTCTGCCTTCTTCCTGTTCGGTGGCCTGGAGTCTGACTTGAGGGCTTTTTAGAAATGCAAAAATCTAGGCCCTTCCTCAGACGTCCTGTATAAAAGTCTGCATTTTTACAAGCTCTCCACGTGGTTTCTTTTTTGTTCATGGTGGGCACATTCCTTTATAAAAAGTTTGCCCCACAAAATACAGTGGACCCTTGACTTATGAACTCAGTTTGTTCTCAAGGGCTGGTTGTAACTCAGGTTGGTCAGCTGAGGCTCAGGCTGTCTTTCAAACTCTCTCCTGCACACAGGCAGAGCTCAGTGTCCTTAGAGAGCCGCTGGCCCAGGATCTCTCAGTGAACTCCGCACAGGAAAGAATGCTGGAATGTTCCTTCCAGGACTGTGTAAGGGTCAGATCTATATCTGAGACCATCTGGCATTTGGGTCATAACTCAAGACTTTTGTTTTAAGTTAAAATTAAAATTCCAGTTGTAAGGCAAGTGGTTCATATATCAAGCTGGTTGTAACTCGCGGGTCCACTGTAAAGGGAATATGACTGCCGTTAGGAAGCCTTTTCCTATCTTCCTTGTCTTTTGAGTCCAGGGATTCATGCTGCTTGCTCTACATTCCCCTTCTCATTCCTTTGTAGTGACAGAAAACAAATCATTTCCCAGACAAGCCTCTACACAGGGCTGTGGTCCAGTCTCCCCTTCCCTGTTATGTGAGAACTACTTACTTTGCTTTGTTTTTTGAGACAGGGCCTTGCTTTGTAATTTAGGCTGGCCTTGAACTCACTGTGTAGCCCAGGCTGGTCTCCAAATGACAGCAATCCTCCTGCCTCAGCCTCCTGAGTTCTGGGACTATAGGTGTGTACCTACCCCTGCTCGAGAACCTGATTATTTCAAAAACAGGCAGTCACAAGTCCCCTGTCTTTACATCTCTGAATCCTTGTATTGCATATACACCAACCTTCTCACCCAATCTTTGTCTCACTTGGCTAATGCATCAAAACTCCAACACAGTCAGTGTTGTCCCAAGTAAGGTTCTAAACCCCAAGTATAGGTTTCTTACTCTTTCTTTTAGATCATTACAGTCTGTCCCAGAACAAATTCTGCTAGGCTACCAATTTCAGAACTTCAGTATAAGATGAATATCACGTAGTCACCACAAATGACCCTGGGAAGCTGTCTTTTTTAAATAGCTCTTTTAAAATGTGTAAGAATAATATGTAAAAATGTTAAAGATCAGCTGTTCTAGGAGTGGAATAAAGGAAAAACAGTGAATTGCTAAATTGCATAAGATTATGGAGATGTGGAAAATGGGCCTTTAGTTTGTATGAGAAGACAGATCATTACTGGAAGGAAGTAAATTTAGTCAACTGTGAGTAAAGGGACAGTTATATTTCTGGAGTCTTTATCAATAGTGGTACTGATTTCTATAGGTCAGAAGTGTACTTTGGGTCTTGTGTTATTTTTAGTGAAGATTTAAAATATGTGATTACTCTTCTCCAGATGCTTGAGGAAGTATTTCACAATCTTGATCCCGATGGAACAATGAGTGTAGAGGATTTTTTCTATGGTTTGTTTAAAAATGGGAAATCCCTTACACCATCAGCATCTACTCCTTACAGACAACTGAAGAGGCACCTCTCTATGCAGGTAAAGAGGAAGTAGAGGGTCCCATTAGAGTAAATCCTAATGAATTAATCTGTTGTCTGAAGCAACATGCCAAGGAGATTGTACAAAGCACAGGAGAACAAAAAAGACTCAACTATTAGGAAGGAAAAGTTGGGTTTGAAAATGACCATAAATGACCGACTAGGAAGGCCACTACTCATGCCTGTTGATGTCAGATTGGGGTCAGAAGAGAAACAGGGTGTTAAAGCAGAGACACATTTTGTCTGTCATAAATAACTCTGCCTCAGAACAATTGTTTTTTAATAATCTTTGTGGTCTTGACTTCCTGGGGAACAAGGATCAAAAGCCGTGTATGACTCCCCCGCCCCTAGTAGTGTAAGTTAAATTTTGCTTTTTGTGGTCAGGATTGGCCAGTTTGTCTTTACCAGAATCCAGTTGAAATGCCTGGAGCGCCCTGAGTTTGCTCAATTCTGTTTCTTCCAGTCTTTTGATGAAAGTGGACGTCGTACGACGACCTCATCGGTGATGACAAGCACCATTGGCTTCCGGGTCTTCTCCTGCCTGGATGATGGCATGGGCCATGCATCTGTGGAGAGAATACTTGACACTTGGCAAGAAGAGGGCATTGAGAACAGCCAAGAAATCTTAAAGGTATGGCAGCTAAAATGGGACAAAAGATGGCAAGTCAGAGAAGGGTTGAGATTTTCAATTTTTTTTGAAACTGTGATCTGACTTGATTTCTCCTCAGTGATTATTCTTTTCATATGACCTCACAGATAAGAGTTAACTATTCCTGCCTCTTTTAACCAGAAATCTGTTGTTAACTACTTTCCATGTTTTTACCTGCCAGTTATTGACATGAGAAATGTTCTCAATTGATCTTGGATTGATATAAAGATTAGCATTATATTCTATTTACTTAGTGCCAGATGCTGTTTTTTAAAAATACAAATTACTTTGTCATGCTTTCCTTAGGAAAAAACATAGTTGTGTTCTAGATTGAAGATTTTCCCTAAGCAGTCGCTAAAGAAATAGAGTCACCCATTTCCTAGGCTATCTTCTGCTCTTGGAGTTTGCCTAACCTTCACATTTTTCTCCTTTCAAAAGAAAGAACTTGTGATTTGTCTTGAGCTTATGCAATATGCTGATTCCTAGGCCTTGGATTTCAACCTTGATGGAAACGTCAACTTGACAGAATTGACTCTGGCTCTTGAAAATGAGCTTTTGGTCACCAAGAATGGCATCCACCAGGCAGCCCTGGCCAGCTTTAAGGCTGAGATCCGGCATTTATTGTGAGTTGAGCTGAGGGTTCACCTGCTCCATTCCCTTCCCTACTTGTAAACAAGTCATTCAGGTGCTTTCCGTGAAGGTCCCCCTAGTCCATATTCAGACATGGCTCCTCTTCTCTATAGAACCACTGCACACATCTCCCCTCCACTGCAGAAAAGTGAGCAATTTTGATTGCTGTGTAGGCTTTTGAAGGGAACTGTGGAATACCTATTTGTTTGGGAATTGAGTTGTCCTCGTTTTGTTTTTGCATCGAAGCCAGCCAAGTGAGAGCTTTTCTGGGATGACTTGTTGCTTAGAAACGGCTTCTCATTAACTCAGTTTATTTCTGATTCTAGGGAACGAGTTGAACAAGTGGTCAGAGAAAAAGAGAAGCTACGCTCAGACCTGGACAAAGCTGAGAAACTCAAGTCCCTGATGGCTTCGGAAGTGGACGATCACCATGCAGCCATAGAAAGGCGAAACGAGTACAACCTCAGGTGCGACCTGGAGGGCAAAGTCGGGGTGTCTTTCCCACCCCTGTGCCCAGGGCAGTGGCATCTCACACTGCGGGGCCAGCACAGAGTAAGGGGCACTTGGCCTACCTGCAGCCATACCAAGCTGCAGTGATTTCTGTCTTATTTTGATTTGTTTGTTTTGGTTTGGTTTTTTGAGACAGATTTCCTTTTGCTTAGTAAATTGCCCAGGCTGGACTAAATGTTCCATCCTCCTGCCTCAGCTTCCCACAGTGTTGGAATCACAGACATGTGCCGCTGTGCCCAGCTAGGGCTACAGAGATTTAGGTGTGGCCAGGCCTAAAGGCAGGCAGATCATAGTCTTTCTCCACTATGGGCGGATCCCCATAGGGACCTTCAAAGGGATCTGATGGCCCCTGGGGTTTCCTCTTCTCCCAGGAAACTGGATGAAGAGTACAAGGAGCGCATAGCAGCCTTGAAGAATGAGCTCCGAAAAGAAAGAGAGCAGATCCTGCAACAGGTGGGCAAGCAGCGTCTAGAACTCGAGCAGGAAATTGAGAAGGCAAAAACGGAAGAGAACTACATCCGGGACCGCCTTGCTCTCTCTTTAAAGGTAATCACCTTTTTCGTACAAGGGTTTGGGTCTCTGCTGGGGATTCCACATGGGAAACTCTGGCTCTGCAAGATGCATAGGGCACAGTTACCCATCTGGGTCAGGACCCACACATGGGACCCTGCCTAGGATATGGATTTCAGGGGTCCGCATGCTCCCCCGGGTAGAGAGAGCTGATCAGTGCAACTTGTTCTTCATATGCCCTGCAGCTGTGCTGTTTGGCATCTGGATGACTCCCTTGGGTGTCCCTCTCTGTCCCTGCTGCTCCCCTAATCCTCAGCAGATGGGCCGACTTCCAGCCATACAGAGGTCTGTATCTTCCCTTTTCCTCTGCCTCTGTGGAGGAAATGGTCCTTGTCTTTCCTGGACTCTCACACCGGCAGGCTCTGGAGTAAGGCTGCCTCATTTAGATCTGGGTACCAACATGTACTGGAAACCATGATGGTGTCACTCAACTATGTTTGCTGAGGTCCCAGTGGGCACTCTAGGAACACCTGTGCTATAGCATTAATGTGGGTTCCATCAGATGATGCAAACAGGGTGTCTGGGAAAAGAACTTTTCCGCTGTTGCTATTACAAAATGCTCCTGAAGTTCTACACTCCAGTTACCACTCCCTACCCTTGCAGCTGTTTCATCTCTTGAATTTTCTACCTTATCAACATCACCACCATGTAAGACAAAGACCCAGAAGTTAAAATTCTCGGTTACCCTCACATTATCACTCGTCGGTTTCTAACTTGTGGTGATGCTCTTAGATTTAACCCCACGCTCTGCATTTCCTCAGCCTCTGATCGAGCTCTGAATTCATCATGGTTCCCCAGCTGATTGTTGTATTCTGTCCATCCCCCCTCCCCGCATCTGGTCATTGGAGTTGTACTGGCACCCGCGGAGTACTAGAGGTCAAGGCCTCCGAAAGAGCCCATCCTTCACCCTTTCTAACCTCGGCTCCTGCCTCCTGCACTTTCCTTCAGCTCTCTTTGTTTCTCAGGGACAGAGCACTTTTGTGTTCCTTAGCTGCATTCCCCAACACTGCAGGCCAAAGCCGTTTATCATTCCCACTGTATTTACTTTTTTGTTGCCAGGAGATAGTACATTTATTATTGCATCAAGCTGTATCCACATCTGCTCCCTCCTGAAGTCCAGAGTGTTCCCTATGGTCAGACACAGTATCTGATTTGTCCCTTTCCAGAGCACAACAGGTCCTGGGACACACAGATTGCTCCTTGTTATTCTAGCATCTAAATTTAGATGATATACTTTGAAAGGCTAGAGTAATTGAACTGGCATTTTAGGGGAAGGTAGGTTTTTTTTTTAATGCTTTAAGTATATTCTCTTTTACTCCATATTGCTGCATGAGGGTGTGAACTTAGACTATATTAAAAATATACTGGCTCTGTATTCTTTTGGCAAAATGTACTTTGAAAATAACATTCTTCCAATCAGCCTTTCACATTGGAGAAGAAAATATGGCAAATGGCATGTGTCTTTTTTTTTTTTAACAAATGTGGGGTGGAAATCATTCCAAAAAGTATTGTATATACAGATCCTTTAAAATGAAGGAAAAAAAAGTTTTGCAAGTCTCACTTGATGTATTATTTTAACTTAAACATAAATTGTTAACTTATATGTATAGCTTTTTTAGCCTTAAATCCAAAATAAATTCATAAGTTAACTGTAAACTATACAATCAGTAAATCATTTTAGAGTTACCTCCTTTTTGTAGGTGTTCTGAATTCTCTTGCTGGTAGCTGGATGAGTTATCTTGTAGCCAGTATTCTTTCCTTTATACTGAGAGTATTTTCATGTTTTCATATTCTGCTGCAATGCTGCCCAGTAGAATAATAAAACAAGCCACATATGTAATTTCAAATTTGCAAATAGCATACTAAAAGGTGAAATTAATTTCAGTCAGTGTATTTAACCCAGTATTTCCAAAGCATTGTCATTCTGAACTGTATTCAGTATACAAAAGTTACTGAGTTATATGTATTTGTGATACACACACACACATAGTTGTGCTGTATATACCAGTGAAGCCTGGTATATATTTTACACTTACAGCCCAGTTTGGTTTGTCCTAAGCACGTTCCAGGTGTTCAGTATCTACGGGTGGCCATTGTTGGCTAACACTGGACAGCAAGGTGCTACAGTCTTTCTTCTTTTAAAGGCAGACTTTGGCTTATGATGATAGATGTCAACTTTGTTGTATTTGTGTTTCTAATTATACTACAGCTTTCAAGTGAACACGTTAATGATTTATGCTTCATATAAAATGTACAGTGGTTTGCTTATTTCTTCATCTGTGCCACACTGAATTTGCTCAAATTTCTTCAGGAAAACAGTCGTCTGGAAAACGAGCTTCTGGAAAATGCAGAGAAGCTGGCAGAGTACGAGAATCTGACAAACAAACTTCAGCGGAATTTGGACAACGTGTTAGCAGAAAAGGTGAATCTGTCTGCATCGGATTCCCTGATAGGCTGCCCACCGTATCACTCACTCAGAACAGGAGCCATGCCCAGAACATTTCTGTGAGGGAGTTACTGTAATTGGGTGCCTAGAGGAAGTCCTACCTTTTTCGGGGAACCATTTAGTGGGGGTGCCTGTGGGGGGGCATTGCCTGGCCTGAGTTGAACACATCCGTCATCCTTCCCATCTTCCGGTTGCTGTTTTTGTTTAAATGCCACATTGCTTTCATACTCACGAGCCAGGGTAACACCAGAAACCCGACCATTTGGTATGTGATAGGTCAAGGGAGGGCACTGGGAAAAAACGACTGCTTTGCCCCTTTGCCCTTCTAGTTTGGTGACCTTGATCCCAGCAGTGCTGAATTCTTTCTGCAAGAGGAGAGGCTGACGCAGATGAGGAGCGAGTATGAGCGGCAGTGCAGGGTGAGTGCTGGGGAGAATCGGGGATGTAGCCGGGCTGGCGTGAGATCCCAGCTCCCCGCCTCCTGGCTGTACAGCCTCCTAAGGCTATGGGCGCCACTGCTTCTCGGTGACGAGATGGCACAAGTAAGAGTACCCAGCTTGGGGGTTGCTGCAAAGATCCAGTGAATGTGTGGAAGGTCCTTAGCACAGAGCCAGGGGCAGTAGCACTTCCACAGATGTTAGCTAAGAAGATGAGTGCTCAGCATGCGAGCCCCAAGGACTTCTACAAACCTCATTTAAGCCTGCTTCACCTAGATCAGAAATTCCTGGGGCTTCAAAGAGAGTAACACATGTCACATTGATGTGCTTATTCCTAAGTGGCCTTTCCTGATTGATCATATTCAGTTAGGCCCAATGTGTGTGGGGTCCCCTCTTCCTGAATAGATTCCTTTACAGTATTTACACTATGCAAATGAAGCAGAGACTGCTCAAGTCTTTAGATGGTAAATCATTCTTGATGCCTACCAGGAAAGATACATATATTCTTATTAAGGAACCTGTTTGTTTCTTTTGAATAACTCCCTTAACTTGGGAGTTTGAGGTCTTTTTCCTTAAACCAACAATACTTGTTTGACAAAGTAAAGATAATTTGAGTTCTGACTGCTCTAGATAAAAAGTGCAGAGATGGGGGAAACAGTCACCTCTTACAAGGTTGGTTCCATCCTGCCTTCTCAGGGAATGCATCTGCCCACTTGAGAAAAGAAATGAAACAGTTCTACTGCTTTGTTTTTGGATTTAATCAAATAGAGTGCTTTAAACATCTTTAATGAATTCATCATTAAAATCTCAGTGCTATCCCCCCAGGTCCCCCCAATCCATCCACTTTGTTTAAATGGCTTGACATACCATATGTTTCACCTGTTTTAACTTGATGACTCAGTCTTATAACAGTCACACAATTGTGTGACCATCACATCACCCCAGAAGCATCCCCTGCTCTGCTTAGCCACAGCCCTCCCACAGCCCCAAGTAACACCTAGTCTACTTTCCATCTCTATAGATTTGCCTAATCTTTACATTTTTATATAAATGGAAATATATAAAGTGTATGATTGGCTTTCTTCGCTTAGTGTGATGCCTTCGAGGCTTATCCGTATTGTAGCATGGATCGGTACTCCAGCCTTTTGAAGGCTAGATGGGTTTGTTACATTTTGTTTATGCGTTCATCGGTCGGTGGACCTTTGGGTGGTAGATACTATTATAAATAATGCTGCGAAAATCCGTGTGCATATTTCTGTGGAGATAAAGTTGATTTCTCTTGGATGTTCAGGAGTAAAACTGCTGGGTAATAAAGTCTCTTTAACCTTCTGAGGAACTGGCCGATCTCCTTACATTCCTACCAGTAGAGTTCAAGTTTCTCTGAGTCTCTGAGTCTCTGAGTCACAGTTGCTACCGTGTGTGTCTTTTGTGTTCCAGCCATCTTGGTAGGTGTGAAATGGCATTTCATCATGTTTTGTTTTTGTATACCAGGGATCAAGCTCAGGTCATCACGGTTCTTATTTGCGTTTCCCTGTTAGCTAATGATGTAGGGTTCTTTTTATGTATTTACTGGTGATTTGTATAATGTCTTGGGGGAAATAATTATATACCGTTTGACCACTTTTAAATTGAGTACCTTGCATTTATTATTGAGTTGTAATAGTCTATATATTGTAGTTAAAGTCTGTAACTAGCAAAACTTTTGTCACATTTGATGTGTTTTTACTTTCTTCATGGTGTTATTTGAAGCACAAAATTTTTTTTAATGACGATGTCTATTTTTGCTGTTGTTGTTGCTTGTGCTTCTGGTGTCCCATCTAAGACCTGTGGTGGTTTTTAAACCCCAGGTATTACAAGACCAAGTAGATGAACTCCAGTCTGAGTTGGAAGAATATCGTGCACAAGGCAAAGTGTTCAAGCTCCCCGTGAAGAACTCACTGTCAGAAGAACTGGATGTTAGCAACAGTGGCCTTGAGCCCGATCAGGGTAAACACATTCAGACACCGTCTTTTCAGAGTCTCTGCATGCTTTTAGAAGCAGGGCTGAATGTAAAATTGCAAAAAAAACCTGGCGACCTTGGGTGGTTGGGGGGATGGCTGGCGCCACTATTGTGGAGCTATCTTGTGGTCTCATTCCACATTTGTTCTTGAAGTCTTTATAAGAATATTTTCATCTGACTTTTATATTCATCCACAAAAGAATGGGGAAAAAACCCACAGGGGTATTTGCTTTGTTTAAAGCAAACAAACTGTCTGCCAATTGGAGAATTCAGGCCTTTGGAGCATCAGAATTCAGACACAGTTCAAGCTGACCCCTCCCTTTCTATGAGAGCGCCTCATTGGTATGAAGATGGTTTTGGAGAGTGAGCTGGCCACAGACCACAGAAGCCTTAACTGGTTTTCTTATGTTGGCTCTGCTAAATGTTAATACTTCTCCTGCAAAACAGCAGATAACATAAGTAAGGGGTGGTTATCCATTCCTTTCTAGTGACAAGGTTAGAAGGGGAACCATTGGACATTCACATTAGCTCTTTCCTCTCTCCTGCTAGCTTCTCTTTTCTAGGGTGTTGTTGGGTTTGAATTCCAGAGAGGGCCCAACACTGCTACTTGGGTGAGAGTATGGTTCTTATGAAGATGATTTATTCCTCTTAGCCGTGTATTTACTGTAGAACCAGGAGGGGATTAAAGAAGCGGAGCCTAAGAAGCCATAAGCCCTGTTCTCTGATTCTAAGCTTGCTCACTCTAGTCAGGGTGGAGGCCATCTGACTGTGTTACATCTCTGAAGCTTTTCCACCCAAGTGTTGGGTGTGCTCTTCACATGTATGTGAGGCTGCACCGTCTTGGGGTGGGTTCCACCCATGTGTTGCTTCTCATTTGGAAATGTGCCACAGTATAGTAGATAAGGCCCAGGGCAAGTCAGGGAGCCCCAGCTGCTAAAAGAACCCCTTCCTCCCATCTGCCTGTGTGTCCCTACGTGAAAAAGGCTATTTTGGGTCTCCCTTCCCTAAGGGATTTCTACAGAACAGTCCACATAATTTTTTTGTTTTTTGCATTAATGTGCCCATTTTCATTCCTCACGGGCAGCTGCAGAGGTAAACTCATGAGCGAGTTGAGAACTCCACCCATACTGCCTGTATCCAGATTCCTAACCTGCATCCTGTGTTTTAGCTGATAAGCTCATGTGTCAATGCCCACTCTTCTGAAATGTTGAGTGATAGGCTGGATATCTTGACCCTTGAAGCTAACTCTTTAAAGTACAGCAGCAAGTATGCTGGCCATTCAGTCCCTTGGCTAGTTTTTCACTTAGGAATGGCTGGCTGGACAGAGGGCTGGTTGGTTTGACCTAACTACACATGTGTGTGGCATGAAGAGGGGCTCACCTTTCAGCAGCAGTTTCCACCCAACCCCCACCTACTGTGCAGAAAGATAGCATCGCTAAGGTTTGACCCATGTCCTGCTCAAGAGAGAATCTGTTCACCTTCACTTCTACTTGTAAAAGAGAAAGGATTTCTTGGCTTTTGTTGTTTCTTAATAGCTCACATCTGTGGCAGTTCGGCTGGAAATTATTCCTCAGGTAAACCAGATGCCCCTCTGCACATGCCAGGTTGTGTTAGTGAAAGCACCTGCTGCAGGATCCATGGGTCCCCTGTGTTTTCAGGGCTTGAGTCTGAAGAGTGTAATCCATTGAATATGAGCATCGAGGCAGAGCTGGTGATCGAACAGATGAAAGAGCAACACCACAGGGACTTGTGTCGCCTGAGACAGGAGCTGGAGGATCAAGTAAGTTCTTCCCACCAGTCCCGTCCCTACTTTCTTTGCACTCTGACCACCGTTGGCACATGAGAAGTTCCCAGGTGTTTATCCTCATCGAGCGACTCTTTCTCTGCATTTCTTTTTGTGTCTGGTAGCTGCCAGGAACCCACTTCCTCAGGCTGAGGGCAAGGCCTTTTCCTCTCGAGAGCGCCTCTGAAATGGATATGGGACTAAACACTTGGAGGAGGTTATTTCCAGTTTAATTTTCTAAAACCAAACAAACTTAATAAAACAAAAAGCCTTTTTGATGTAGCCTAACTAAAATAGACACGCGTTCTGATGCTTCGCCTGCCTGCCCTTCACCCTGTGGATCTAGTCTTCTGTTTCTCCCGTGGATGAGTTGCCCGATCCTCTAGCCTGACTGGGTGGTTTGCTCTTTCTTGTCCAGCTGTGTCCTCTGTTGCTCATGCTATTATGATTTCTTTCTTTCCCTCAAAGGTCCCCTTCCCTTCAGAGTTTATATCAAATGTTTCCTCTTCCATGAAGTCTTCCTGAATTTCCCAACCAAATACCATTTTTCTCTCCTTTGGGTGCCCGGTCGCATTGTAGCTCTTTGCTTCCCTTCCCTTTTATATGTTGTGTTCTGCCTGGTACTGTGTAGTTGTCATACTTGTGTCTACACTGGCTTCTCCTGAATACCAGGGGCTCTGCGTTACCCACTTGGTGAGATCCCTCGAAGCCCACAGAATATCTTATAGGAGTTCATTAAATACTTGAGTTTAATTACATATTTTAAGACCCTCAGTTTGCAGTTGAAGAGGAATCATGAGAACTAAAGGATACCTATGTGTGAGGGTCTGTTCAGGTCTTAATAGAGTTGTTCAGAAACCAGTAAAATTCAGCCAAGTCAACAAATAAAAGCAAACCATGTCTGAATTAAGCATCTTACTTCAGGTGCTTTTGAATTAAATTATCTTCAAACAGAATGAGGAAATGGAAGAAATGTCTTGTAGGACAGAAGCACTTGTCCCCACCACCTCCCTTTCCGTGGCCTGCGTTAGAATAATCGTATGGTGGTCTCACACTCTGACTTCAGGTGCACCATCACGAAGAGCAGCTGGCTGAGGCCCGGGCCACCTGGGAAAAGGAGCAGGAGACCGTGAAGGAAAAGTATGAGCATGGAAGGCACGCCTTGGAAGAACAGATAAGTGACCTGAGAAGGGAAATCGTAGAACTGCAGGGGCAGGCGGAGGTGCTTAAGGACACACACCACGAGACCTGCCACAGGCAGGAGGAGGAGAAGAAACAACTGCACACAGCGTTTGAGGAGGAAAAGACTCGCCTTCGGGAGGAGCTGAGGCTGCAGCATGAGCTGGAGCTCCAGGCCCGGCTGCAGCAGGCGGAGGAGGGCTTCAGCCAGGAGAAGGAAGGACTCCAGAGCAGTGCCTGGACGGAGGAGAGGGTGCGCGGCCTGCTGCAGGACCTGGAGCGGGCGCACCGGGAGCAGCTGCAGAACCTAGGGGAGAAGCACGAGCTTGAGAAAGAGGAGCTGAGGCGAGAGCTCTTGGAAAAGCACCAAAGGGAACTTCAGAAGGGACGGTAAGGAAGTGAGGGACTCAGGGCAGCCCAGGCACTCACTGGTTGGGGCACCAGAACTTCCAGTCAGTTTCGTGGGCCACGTAAACCAGTCTGCAGAGTAGCTCGTGGGGTGAGTTGAGTCTCTTTGGAATTTTTAACCAGGATTGTCCTAGTTCACACATGAACCTGCTTTGGGGTTACTGGAACTGTTTGCTTTTTAAGAGGAAAGCATTCCTGACATTAAGCTTTGCTGCATCTCAGCTGGGCATGGTAGATGTGATTCATATCTCAGGCTGAGGCAGGAGGATCCCTGTGGGTTTGACGCCACTCTGGGTTCCATAGTGAGTGGGAGTCTAGCCTGAAATGCAGAGTGAGACCTTGTCTCAAAAAAAAAGAAGGAAAAAAAAAGTGGATGGTCCCAAATGATTCCTTCGTAGATCCATCCTGTTGCTTTCTGAGAAGACCTATGTGTAAGCTGGATTCTGGGCAAAGTTACATTTCCGCCTAGACCTATGAAATGGCTCTTTGTGCTTACCTCTCTCATGTGAAATCTCAGGTATGAGGGCCTCATGCCCTGAAGGACATAGTGCTAATTTATTAAATAAGAAGTAAAAGCAGAATGAATGTGTTCATATATGTGATTAATGTGACTCATATTGTACATTGCGTGCTAAATAAAAATGAAGGAATGGTACACCAGGAGTGGTGGTACACACCTGTAACCCAGTTACTGAAGAGGCTGAGGAAGCAGGGTCACAAGCTGGAGGCCAGTGAGACTATCTAAAAATAAAACGAGCTGGAGATGCAGCTCAGTGGTAGAGTGTTCTTGGGTTCAGTCCCTTGTATCACACACACACACACACTGTATTTCCCACGTGAGGAGTTAGGTTAGTATGCATTTGATCACTTAACATGAGATACCAGTTTAAGACTGCGGTTTAAAAACTCAAAAGTACAGCCAAGAATATGCTAAGGAATTTGGTTCATAAGCTCCCCCTAACGTGGGAGAGGTAAGTCTGCACACTAATTGTGGCTGCCAGTCTTAGCTCTGAGCGGTGGATCCCCGCCAGTGCACATGGATCACAAAGGAATAAGCTAAGACCGCGTTTAGAAAGCATTTCAGTTGTTTGCTTGGCAACCTTCTGTCTGCATGGGGGAATGTGTTTTGTTTTGGGAGTTGGCGGCAGTTTCAGTAATGCTGTATGTTGACCACGTTTAGGGAAGAGATGGAAACAGAGTGTAATAGAAGAGCCTCTCAGATAGAAGCCCAGTTTCAGGCTGACCGTGAGAGAGTCACTGCGAGGTGTGAGGACGCGCTGCAAAGCCTGGAGGGCCGCCACCGCCTCGAGCTGCAGGACCTGCAGGAACAGTGGCGGGAGGAGAGGTCCCAGTGGGAGTTCGAGAAGGATGAGCTGGCCCAGGAGTGCACCGAAGCCCAGGAACGGCTGAAGGAGACACTACAGCGAGAGAAAGCGACCTCTCTGGTCCTCACCCAAGAGAGGGAGATGCTGGAGAAGACGTACAAAGAACACCTGAACAGCATGGTGCTGGAGAGACAGCGGCTGCTGCAAGACCTGGAAGACCTCCGCAAGGTGTCCGAGAGCCAGCGGAGCCTGCTGTCCGGCCAGATCCTTGAGCTGAAGAGCAGTCACGAGCGAGAACTGCGGGACCGAGAGCAGGTGCTAAGCCAGGCGGGGCCCCCGGAGCAGCTGGCCAGCGGGCGGCTGGAGAGGCTGCGTGAGGAACGTGACCGGGAGAAGCAGGAAATGCTGAGCAGGCTCGCAGCCGTGGAGAGCGCGCACCGCGCCACCCAGGAGACGGCAGAGCGCCAGCGGGCGGAGATGGGCGACCAGATCCGCAGGCTCCGAGAGGAGGTACAGGACCTGCGGCGGGCAGCATCTCCCGCCTCCCGGCTTCTTGGCGG